GGCCAACATGGCGAAACCCCATCTCTACTAAAATACAAATATTAGCCGGGCATGATGGCAGGCACTTGTAGTCCCAGCTACTTGGGAGGCTGAGGCAGGAGAATTGCTTGAACCCAGGAGGCGGAGGTTGCAGTGAGCCAATACCATGCCACTGCCCTCCAGCCTGGGCAACAGCAAGATTCCGTCTCAAAAAAAAGAATGAATAAAAGAAACAATTGGCTGCTAGCTAAAGGTAAATTCTGGAAACATAGCTCTAGGGTTAGTAGGTTTGTAATCGAGACGTTGAGTCTGTCCTGAAATTTTTGAGTGAGCAATACAAAGGGAATTGAAATAGAGAAGTGTAGATGCTGAGCTCTGTTAAGATACAGGCAGCATGGTAGGGGAGCTTGCCCTGCCCTGATTTTCTAGTTAAATCCTTTTGAAAAGACTGGGAAAATGTAAACCAGAGTAAAATCCATAGTTGCCAGATTTTGAAATGCATCTCAACAAAATAGTGAAATTGGAGCAAATGTCTTCTCTTTTTTTGTTGAGACGGAGTCTGTCACCCAGGCTGGAGTGCAATGGCACAATCTCGGCTCACTGCAAGCTCCGCCTCTTGGGTTCACGCCATTCTCCTGCCTCATCCTCCCTAGTAGCTGGGACTACAGGCGCCCACCACCACGCCCAGCTAATTTTTTTGTATTTTTAGTAGAGACGGGGTTTCACTGTGTTAGCCAGGATGGTCTCGATCTCCTGACCTCGTGATCTGCCCGTCTCAGCCTCCCAAAGTGCTGGGATTACAGGCGTGAGTCACCGCGCCTGGCCGCAAATGTCTTGTTTCTAATTCCTATCAGATCTGGTACCAAAGGAGAATTTGGAGAGCTGGCTAAATTATTTGAAGAAAGAATTGCCAACAGTGGTGTTCAGAGCCTCAACAAAACCGAAGGATAAAGGGAAGATAACCAAGGTATCCTTTATTAGTAGTAAGATACGTGGTTCTTTCAGATTTTGGTTGAAATATGATGAGTGTGCAAAATCTTGATTTAAATAAATGAAAAATTACAAGATCCAACTCTGATTTCAGCCAGAGATAATCTGAAAGGCAGTGTAGTTAGTTTAAGAGCTGGGCTCTGGAGCCTGATTGCTTGGGGTTTGTTAAAATGATTTTTCAGGTAAGTTGCCAGAATAATTCAACTATTTGGAATTTTAGCGTGTGAAGGCAAAGAAGAATGCTGCTCCATTCAGAAGTGAAGTCTGCTTTGGGAAAGAGGGCCTTTGGAAACTTCTTGGAAGTTTTCAGGAGACTTGCGGCAAAGCCATTCAGGTTGGAGTAATTGGTGAGTTTCAGTTCATTACTTTTTACTTTTTAATTGTTGAAATAGTTAAGAAGTTTAGCCAGCTCTCCAAGTGCCCAAGCAGCAGTGTATGGAGTTGTTGTCAAGTAAAAGGCTCACTCAAATACTAGCTTCTTGCCTATATCTTACTAAAAGCACATAACCACACACAATTTAAAGAAAAAAACTTACACAACTGTTGGCCGGGCACGGTGGCTCACGCCTGTAATCCCAGCACTTTGGGAGACCAAAGCGGGTGGGTGACGAGGTCAGGAGATGGAGACCATCGTGGCTTACACGGTGAAACCCCATCTACTAAAAGTACAAAAAGTTAGCCGGGCGTGGTGGTGGTTGCCTGTCGTCCCAGCTACTGGGGAGGCGGAGCTTGCAGTGAGCCCAGATGGTGCCACTGCACTCCAGCCTGGGCGACAGAGACTCATCTCAAGAGAAAAGAAAAAAAGAAAACTTACACAACTGCTCCAGATTCAGGTTTTTTGTTGGAACTGATTACTATAGGAAGCTGGTTTCTAAAAGTTCTTGGTTTGTTTGAATTTACAGTATTTTCCTGCCTTTTCATTACTTGTGCAAAAAATGAAGAAACTAAAATTGGCCTTAGTATTGAAGTGAAGACACAGATCCAACTCTGATCTTGCCCTAAACATCAGGGAAATGGAAAATTAGGCAGTGAAAATTTCATGAGTGCCAACATATAATGCTTTTTATATCTGGATTTCCCATTTATTTGTAGGTTTCCCAAATGTGGGGAAAAGCAGCATTATCAATAGTTTAAAACAAGAACAGATGTGTAATGTTGGTGTATCCATGGGGCTTACAAGGTAAATGGAGGTGTCCATAATTGTAATATTACTAGTGACACACTTTTATTTTAGTTATCTCAAGGAAGGTGATTTTTTTTTTTGAGACAGTTTCGCTCTTGTTGTCCAGGCTGGAGTGCAATGGTGCAGTCTCGGCTCACTGCAACCTCCACCTCTCAGGTTCAAGCGATTTTCCTGCCTCAGCCTCCCGAGCGGCTGGGATTACAGGCATGTGCCCCCACACCTGGCTAATTTTGTATTTTTAGTAGAGACGGGTTTCTCCATGTTGGTTAGGCTGGTCTTGAACTCCTGACCTCAGCTGATCTGCCCGCCTCAGCCTCCCAAAGTGCTGGGATTACAGGTCAAGCCACTGCGCCTGGCCTAATTTTTTTTAAAGCTTTTGGTGAAAGAAGAGATATAAGCCAGTGCTAGGCTTGGAGAAAAACTGATTGGAGTGGGACAGCTGCCCACAATTCAGTTTGAAAGACAAGTTAAGCAAATAGATAGAGAGGAAAGCTCCCTCAGAGGAAGTGATGTTTGAACCTGGCCTTGAGAAATTAATAGAAATTTGCCAGCTAGAAGGCTGCCACCACACCTGGCTAGTTTTTGTATTTTTAGTAGAGATGGGGTTTCACTGTGTTGCCCAGGCTAGTCTCAAACTCCTGGCCTTAAGTGATCCACCTGCCTAGGCCTCACAAAGTGTTGGGATTACACTTTCGTTGGGTGGCATGAGCTACCGTGCCCTAGATCTTTTTTTTCTTGAGACGGAGTCTCTGTCTCCCAGGCTGGAGTGGTGCTATCTTGGCTCACTGCAACCTCAGCCTCCTGAGTAGCTGGGATCACAGGCACCCGGCTAATTTTTGTATTTTTAGTAGACAGCGCTTTCACCATGTTGGCCAGGCTGGTCTCGAACTCCTGACCTCAAGTGATCACCCGCCTCAGCCTCCCAGAGTGCTGGGATTACAGGCATGAGCCACCGCACCCGGCCAGAAGGTGGCGTATTTATAGCAAAGGAAGTAGCATGTGTTTTGGGTGATGTAAACATATAAGCTGTAACATGCAGTGTTTCTCTTTAGAACAGTTGGGTATGCTGTTACAGTTTTAGATAAATGTGAAGCAAATGATGATAAACTGGATCTGACTGACTGTGCTGAGTCTGTTCAATCCAACTCTGAGCTTCATGTTCTCTTACCTTCCAAATAAACCAATGCCCCCATCAATTCCGTCTCTCTTCTTTCAGGAGCATGCAAGTTGTCCCCTTGGACAAACAGATCACAATCATAGATAGTCCAAGCTTCATCGTATCTCCACTTAATTCCTCCTCTGCACTTGCTCTGCGAAGTCCAGCAAGTATTGAAGTAGTAAAACCGATGGAGGCTGCCAGTGCCATCCTTGCCCAGGCTGATGCTCGACAGGTAAAAACCCCTTCTCATGAGCTCCTTGGAGCCATTTTCTTTCATCATAAGCATTTTCAGTAGAAAAATTTTGGAAGTTTTTTAAAGTACTGATGTGTCAGATGAAGGACAGTTCTTTTTTTTGTTTGTTTTTTAAGGTAGTACTGAAATATACTGTCCCAGGCTACAGGAATTCTCTGGAATTTTTTACTATGCTTGCTCAGAGAAGAGGTATGCACCAAAAAGGTGGAATCCCAAATGTTGAAGGTGCTGCCAAACTGCTGTGGTCTGAGTGGACAGGGTAAGCTTTCTTTTCTGTTGGCATTTTGGTGACCACTAGAATAAACCTCCTTTTGACACATCTTATTTTTAATATCAGTGCCTCATTAGCTTACTATTGCCATACCCCTACATCTTGGACTCCTCCTCCATATTTTAATGAGAGTATTATAGTAGACATGAAAAGGGACTTCAATCTGGAAGAACTGGAAAAGAACAATGCACAGAGCATAAAAGGTGAGAATTGTGTGTCACTGCTGTCTTCATCAGTTGACAGGCCAATAGAGGTCTTATCTGTTTACATGGGCTTTGTTTCTTCCCCAGCCATCAAGGGTCCTCATTTGGCCAGTAGCATCCTTTTCCAGTCTTCTGGTCTGACAAATGGAATAATAGAAGAAAAGGACATACGTGAAGAATTGCCAAAACGGAAAGAAAGGAAGCAGGAGGAGAAGGAGGATGACAAAGACAGTGATCAGGAAATTATTGATGAAGAACTTGATGTAAGTGTGTCCTCCATGAGTTGTTTAAAACTGAAGTGAGTTTTCTAGCATTATAATACATAATGGGAAAGAACTGAAGATAGGAAATATTTGAGGCTTGTGATCCGTTAGCCTTAATTTTACACATCCCGTTATATGTACCTCCAAGAGTTAATTTTTTCAGGTACATAACTACTTGGATTAAATGAGCAAGACAACGGCTACTAATCCAGTACCATTTTTCCTTGTCACACAGGAAAAGAGCTCAGGCATGTTTGCTGCAGAAGAGACAGGGGAGGCACTGTCTGAGGAGTCTACAGCAGGTGAGGCAGGCAAAAGGAGTTCTAACAAAGCAGCATGGTGTAGAATCACTTTGACTTTTTGAAAATCTCTTTTTATTTTCCTGCAATATAGGTGAACAGTCTACAAGGTCTTTTATCTTGGATAAAATGATTGAAGACGATGATGCTTATGACTTCAGTACAGATTATGTGTAACAGAACCATGTCTTTTTTTATGAGTTTTTTTTTAACATTCTAAGCAGACTGCTAAACTTCTATGTATAATGTGTGTAAGTTATGGTATGCATGAGCTGTGTAAATTTTCTGAATATGTATTGTATTAAAACCAGGCAATTTGGAATCCCTAAATTCTATAAAAAGACAATTCACCTCATTGTGAGTGGAAGCAGTTATCTGGAATAAAAAAATACGATACCTATTGAAAAATGTTGTTTTATTTACAGATCAGGCCACAGGTTACAACAGCAGTTTTGAATTATCTGTACCAGCTAGCTGAACTAGCTATATCTGTTCTTCTTTCCAGTCATTCAGCATTGTAGTAAGAAAACACTTGGTAAGGCAGATGGAGACATATTTATAGTCTATAGTCTGTCTGGGAAGCTGACTTCCAGACAGGGCAGTTTGTCATCTTTACCCAGCTGACACATCTTTTTCCATGGCTTGCTACGATAGGCATTGAAGCCTAGCAACTGTTACTTTGCATACATGCCATCTTCCAGGACTTCCTGAGAAATGCTTATAGTTTAAATTCTGTTTCACTTTATGTTTGAGATCTCGGTATATCTTCGGATTAGGTTGAATTTGCCTGTTGGGTCTGGAATATACCATTTTTCCCAAACATCAGTATATGAAGCAGTCCTTCCCCATGGCTTAAAATGTCCATTCCAATGGAGTAATTTGGCAGCCTTTACAAACTGAGGTGAATATCGTTTTCCAGCACTGGAACCTTATATTTGAGACAAAAATAGGCACATCATTGTGCCATGTGAAATTGTGCAGAAAACTTAAGGGAAACAAAGAATATACCCCATCCCTGAGGATAGTTCTTTAGATACCAATTCTTTGTACTAGCTTATGCCACTGGTTAATTCTACTTACCAAGGTGGCGGACATTCCACATAGGATCGATGGTAGAGTGCTGTTGATAAAATACGATAAGCAGAGGAGGTGTTGTGATGCTACCAGCCAGGGTTCTGCTATACAATCCCTCTCTTGGTGGGACAGAAAACAAATGTTAGTGAAAAGTACTAACTCCTGTTAGTCACAACTCCCGGAATTGAAATACAACAGTTTTTCACAGCTCGGCCAGTTACATACTTACTCTACATTGAGTTTCATCCATTTTTCCAGTTGGTTAGTTATATTCTGTCGTTTCCATTCTGTCAGGTTTGCAACAAAAACTCCAGGATTAAATGAGCAAGTGCTGGCTTTCATGGAAAGCTTACGAATTCTTTCCTTTTTATAGTCAAGATAGCCAATGTAATTGTACTAAAAACAGATAGGACATATGTATTTACTGCTTTAAACAATAGATACAATTTTATAGCCAATAGAGAAAACAGCTGTTAAACTATGACTTCTTCAGATTAGATAATAGATACTTGAAATTCCAAGTTAGAATAGGAACCTAGATGTTGACATATTAAACCAGATGTTCAAGAAGAACAATTAGGCTGTCAAGTCCATGAAGAAGTCTACAGAAAAGCAGGCTTGAGTTTTGTGATGAAATGATTAGGGAGTGAGTGTAAATTGCAGCAAAAGAGTTCCCTGAATTTGTAACCTCTTCCCAATAAACGATACTGTAGGAAGAGGGATGTGTGGTAAGCAATTTACCTGGTTTCCTGCTCCACGGATGACAACTTTAGTAGAGGCTGAATCACAATCTTCTGAAAATGCAGCTGCATGTCCTGGCTTCAGTGGTGTATTGTAAAGGGCAAGAATATCACCTGAAATAGACAAGATGTTAAGATTTACATTTCAGTTGCCTTGAGAGTTCCCTGTTACTCCCACTTCTCCCTGTGGTGACCTTTTATAGAAGACCATAAATAAAACAACCACTATAGCCCACTGTAGCCCATTGTTTTATTTAGCAATTGTACTCAATCTGGGTGGAGAATAGCACTCATGGTAACATTTTTGATACCTTGCACAATTACATCATCATCCATGTATATGGCCTTCTTTGCGCTGGGAACCAGAATTGGCAAGTAGAACCTTGCAAAGGTTAACTGGAAAAGGAAAGAATAATTGGCATAGGATACTGCACTGGCTGTGCTTTTATTTACATAGAAACTCCTAGGATGCTTTCAGTACCCATTCAGGAGAAAAAAGGACTCTTAGAACCACCCAGGCTTGGTCCCCAGGAAACCACCTGCACTATATCCACAGACACCCAAGTATTCCATTATTTCCTAATACTGCCAAGTACAAAGAAGGATGCATGGAACTCACGGGTTTCATGGATTCCCCCTGGTCAGGATCCTCCTTTACTTTCCCTTCCAAAAGTTTAGGGTCAAAATTGACAATTTTGTATCTGATACTTTTCAGGGAATCACTGTTGAGCCAGGACCTGATGAAGATAAAACACTAAATTTTAGTTTCAAATAATGTCTCCAAACCAATAAGGGAATAATGCAAAAGAAACCCTATGGACCAAATAGGTGTTTACAAGCTCCTTTTATCTCTGAGCTTTGGTTTCCTCGTCTGAAGTGATGGTTATTCCCACAAACGTCCCTCCCTGAACCAAGATTATGTAGTAATTATCTTATAACACTAAAACTACTCTAGAAAAATACAGTACAGAATTAAGAACATTTCGTCACCACCTAGACCATCCAACTCTTAACCCAATAAATACACTGGTGAAGAAAAGACGTCAAAGTGATGGTAGCGAATGCTAATTACCAACAGAGTAATCTCTTATCTACAGACTGACTTGTTAATTCACTGAGTAATTCCACCACTCAAGTCTGAGGCACTACCTGTAAGAAAAAAGTGTTTGCTAAAGGAGTACTGCACATTTTTTCTAGGTCAGTTTCAAATCAGCGTTTTGTGGGTACTTAGTGTTACTTCTGTAGTCTATTTTTATACAGCTTCTGTTTCTGTATTTTAAATGGGTTCAGAATTTACAGCTTCAAAAACTAAGTATGAACCATGGAGAAGGCCATAAGGACGAAAATGTTTTAGAAATTTGACAACTGGTTAATTTGTTAGACCAACAAATTTGGAGTAAGTTTTGTAAGTCTTAGTTCATTTTCAAAACGGATTGGACTATCCAAATTTCCCCAGATCACTCTGGGGAAAGTCAAGATTTGGATCAGGACCTGTTATCAGCCTGTGATCAGCTTCACAACACTACCTTGCCATTGTTGCTAAGTCCCTTCCCACTCTAGACCAGAGCTGCTCAGAACATGTCCATGAAATAAGGAACCTGTAACTTATAAATCAACATTTACTGCTGCCTTCACTGAGAAAGTATTATTACCAAAAACAACGTCAGGTGGGGTTAACAGTGCAGAGTGACAGTTGACTGACTTCCTGGCATGAGCTCCTTGTATCACTTCTCCTATTATGGGGATAAGCTCATAATACAATCCTAAAAAAATATGTCAGTTGTACAGTTTATCGGTGGTACAATTTCAATTGTATAAAACAACATACAAACCACAGAAAAACAGTTCCTGGATTGGCAGCTGGTCTGCTCTAGATCATCCTCTAGAAGCAGAATCACATAAGCAGAGCTCACCGGAGATGGTCTGCTGTATTGTTGAGAGTAACAATGTAGAAAATCACATTGGAGCGAGTGTTGTGCTGAATGCTGTTTATGGCTGCGATGGCCCCCCCAAGCCTGTCTTCAGATGCAGCGATGACCACAGGAATCTCCTCTTGTCTCCCATCTACTGCATATCGGAGAGCATTTGGAACAAAGTCTATAGGTTGAGGCCCCACAATTCCTGAATCTGAAAACACAAGGAAGGCACTGTGATACAATCTCATGGGCTTTTGAGTCCAAGACATGGAAAAAGGGAAGGTAAGGATTATGGTTCTGATTTACCTCATTCTCCCCCATTAAACTGAAGCATATAGCCCTGAAACTTTCCCTGTAAGTAAACAAGCTTTTGGAAAAATGGAGGAAGCATTTTTTAAAATAGGCCGACAGCACTTTAATACACTACTGGTAGGAAAATAACAGAACCTGTTAGAATGTATTGTGGCAATTTGTATCAAGAGTTTCCTAAGGACAAAATCTGAAATATAATCAAAAGAAAGAATTTTATTTAAATTGTGAAAACATAGCAGCAAACTAAATTTTTTTTTTTTTTTTTTTTTGAGACGGAGTCTTGCTCTGCCGCCCAGGCTGGAGTGCAATGGCCGGATCTCAGCTCACTGCAAGCTCCGCCTCCCGGGTTCACGCCATTCTCCTGCCTCAGCCTCCCAAGTAGCTGGGACTACAGGCACCCGCCACCACGCCCGGCTAGTTTTTTGTATTTTTTAGTAGAGACGGGGTTTCACCGTGTTAGCCAGGATGGTCTCGATCTCCTGACCTCGTGATCCGCCCGTCTCGGCCTCCCAAAGTGCTGGGATTACAGGCTTGAGCCACCGCGCCCGGCCAAACTAAATATTTTTTAAGTCACAAATCACAAGTAGGCATGAAACCAATTGAGTGAGTCACAATCAATTTATACAGAAAAAGTTTCTGGATTGCAATAGAAAACTGAAGTAGAGGCCGGGTGTGGTGGGTCACGTCTGTAATCCCAGAACTTTGGGAGGCTGAGGCAGGTGGATCACTTGAGGTCAGGAGTTCAAGACCAGCCTGACCAACATGGTGAAACCCTGTCTCTACTAAAAATACAAAATGAGCCAGGTGTAATGGTGAATGCCTGTAATCCCAGCTACTTGGGAGACTGAGGCAGGAGAATCGCTTGAACTCGGGAGGTAGAGGTTGTAGTGAGCCGAGATCATGCCATTGCACTCCAGCCTGGGAAGCAAGAGGAAAATTGCATCTTACAAAAAAAGAAAACTGATTTAGAATACCAAAGAAAATACAGTGTATCACACAAGGAAACTGCAAGTACTGTCCTATATACATTCTTGCCTTTTTTTTTTTTTTTTTTCATTCCTCATTGAACCCTGGTATTTACTATGTGCCAGGCAGTATCTAGGCACTGGGGTTACAGCCATGAATAAAACATCCCTAACTTTCTGATAGACAGCCAGTAAGTAAATACATATGTATGTACATGTGCTACATGTAATGTACTTCCTATTGTAGGGCTGCCACCAAAAAGTCTTAAAACTGTTGTACCACAAGATGTTATCCTGTGGAAACAAATTAATAGACATTAAAATTATGTATGAAGAGTTTCTACCATCACAGTGACATGCTTATGATAAACAGGAAAACACATAATGTACAGTTTATATATAGTACAATCTCAACTGTACAGAAAAAAGATGTGTAGGAAAAAACTGGAAGGTACTAAGCCAAAAATGTAATAAGTTACCTTTAGGCAATGAAATCATTCAACCAATATTTATTGAACAGCTATAGGTATCAGCCACCATCCATAGGCACAGAAGATAAAACAGTACACAAACTGCCTTCATGGAGCTTGAATACTGTTGTCTCTTTTTTTTTTTTTTTTTGAGACGAAGACTCACTCTGTCACCCAGGCTGGAGTGCAGTGGCGTGATCTTGGCTCACTGCTACCTCCGCCTCCTGGGTTCAAGCGATTCTCCTGCCTCAGCCTCCCGAGTAGCTGGGACTACAGGTGCATACCACCACGCCCAGCAAATGTTTGTATTTTTAGTAGAGACACGGTTTCGCCATGTTGGCCAGGCTGGTCTTGTACTCCTGACCTCATGATCTGCCCACAGCCTCCCAAAGTGCTGAGACGGTCTCCATCTCTTGACCTTGTGAGGCGCCCACCTCGGCCTCCCAAAGTGTTGGGATTACAGGCGTGAGCCACTGCTCCTGGCCGCTGTTCTCTTTTTTATAAACTTTCCTACTAGGAACATGCATTACTTTATATGTATCATACATATATACACATGATAAAACATGCTATCAGAGCACTCCATGAAAGTCAGGAGAAAGCTATTATAGTCTCTCACTCTGGTCAACTGTGGTGGGTGGCAATCCAAAAATGATTTTTGACAAACACTCGAGCCTCAAACATTCCTCAATACCAAGGGAGAACAGTATGAACAACTAATTCAATATATTGTGCAATGCATTATACAACACAGTGATTTTTAAAAATCACTTGACAAAACTTTTATTGCTACAGTCCCACTGATGCAGCTGCACAGCTGAAGGAAAGTAACTAGACTGACACTCTAGTGACTACAGCAGGCATCAAACACCAAGGACACTTGTCTGCCCTCACTTTCTGAAGCCCTGTCCTGCTGACATATGAACAGATGGCAGCCCTCAGAGGCTCTCCTAAGGCCTCCGATTTAGTGAAAAGGAATATTCTGTCAGATCAAACCCTTAACAAACAACTGCTAGTACTACCAGAAGAAGAACAACTTAGGATGTGCAACACAGAGAATACCAGGTCCTCAACAGATTCTAAGGCATTATTAGTAAATGTTCCCATACCTGTAACCTCATTCCTTAACAAACTGCTCAAGCCGAGGAAGTTATGGTGCAAAACCAGTAAGAAGAGAGCAACAGCCAGGACCAAGATGATGATGTTTACTGAAATAGATAGGGAAAACCTACGTTATACCTCTTTATCTTTCACCAGGTATAAAAACAAGTTAACTTGTAGAAAGAGCATACCTTTACGGAATGACATCTTTTTCTTCTGTCATATAAATTAGCAGTTATTAACCCTACAAAACAAAACAAGCCCCCAAAGTCAGTAAGTACATGAGAAGGGACATCAAAATGCCCTAACACTTTTTTTTTTTTTTTTAAATTCAGGAAGAAACAGGAGGCATATATGGTATTCTGCAAGAAACTCATTTTGAATTAACAGTTTCCAAGAACCCAATTTCGGATCTGAAATTTTTGTGGTAGTCATTAATAAAAAACTTTTAAAAAGCTGGAGAAATACATAAGCTTAGTCTTGTATATTATACATCACAAGATGAAAAGCAAAAAAAAATTTAAGAATTAAGTTTCAGCCAGGCACGGTGGCTCAATGCCTATAATCCCAGCACTTTGGGAGGCCGGGGGGAGGGGGGGAGTGGATCACGAGGTCAGGAGTTCAAGACCAGCCTGGTCAAGATGGTGAAACCTCGTCTCTACTAAAAACTGCAAAAAAAATTAGCCAGGCGCAGTGGCAGGGGCCTGTAATCCCAGCTGCTCAAGAGGCTGAGGCAGGAGAATCACTTGAACCTGGGCAAGAGAGGTTGCAGTGAGCCGAGATCGTGCCATTGCACTCCAGCCTGGGCAACAGAGTGAGACTCCGTCTTTAAAATAAAAAATAACATAACAGAATTAAGTTTCTACTTAAAATTCCTAAAGTAGACATGGATTCAGGTTGTCTATGACCAAGTAACCTGAGGTCTTAGCCTCATCAGTAAAAACATGCCTGTTCAGAGTTGTATCCCATTCACCTTTAACATGAGTGTCCTCAGAGAAAACAATATTATCCAAATTCACTTGACAAACCCACAGCAGAGAAAAAGTTACAAAAATTCACAAAATCCAATCGATATCAAAAGTTTGGAGTGCATTTCTAGCCATCGTAACTAGCAAAAACAAAAAAATGTTTATTTTAGTTTATTTTTTTAAACGGAGTCTCATTCTGTCACCCAGGCTGGAGTGCAGTGGCACGATCTCAGCTCACTGCAACCTCTGCCTCCCACATTCAAGCGAGTCTCCTGCCTCAGCCTTCCCAATAGCTGGGATTACAGGCGTGCACCACCATGCCCAGCTAATTTTTGTATTTTTAGTAGAGATGGGGTTTCACCATGTTGGCCAGACTGGTCTCGAACTCCTGACCTCGTGATCTGCCCACCTCAAGCCTCCCAAAGTGCTGAGCTTACAGGCGTGAGCCACTGCGCCCCGCCAAAAAAACATTTAAGGTGCTATTCCCAAAAACCATCTCTGTTAGCTAGCTATTCATCTCTTAAGAAGGTGGTGTCTAATTGTCACACTGTCCTGGTTGGTCCTCCTCAGCTCATCTGACCTTCACCTTTTCAAAACAATTCAGTGGAAACAAGATAGTAGGTGGAACTAAATTTATTTAAAAAATAAATTCCTTCAACAAGCTCTTGGTAAAATGTTTCCTTAAAGACATTTTACCAACCAAGATATTGTGAACCCACCTTTTAACCCTTACTATAGACCCTGGATCTGTAACTACATTTTCGTTAGAGTATACAATTGTGTACGATTTGATTAGCAACACAGTTGGTCCTCAGTATCAGTCGGGGATTGGCTCCAGGACTCCCCATGTATACAAAAATTCACGAATGGTCAAGTCCCTTATGTAAAACGGCATATTAGAGTCAGCCCTCTGTATCTGTAATTTCAATCCGTGGTTGGTTGAATCCAAGAATACAAAACCGTGGATACAAAAAAAAAAAAAAAAAAAAGACCACACTGGCCAGGCGTTTGAGACGAGTCTGGCCAACACAGTGAAACCCCATCTCTACTAAAAACACAAAAATTAGCCGGGCTTGGTGGCACATGCCTGTAATCTCAGCTACTCAGGAGGCTGAGGCAGGGCAATCACTTGAATCCAGGAGGCAGAGGTTGCAGTGAGCCACGATCGCACCACTGCACTCCAGCCTGGGTGACAGAGCGAGCCTTCATCTCAAGAAAAAAAAAAAAAAAAAAAAAGACCACACAAAGATGTAACTATTTATACACACATCAGAAAGTCTGTTCAATCACACCAAGAAATACAGAGCATGAGAAGGAAACAGGAATAAACTCTTGCCCATCCCTCATTCTGCCTTCTACACGTCCTGACTCCTTCTGAGGTCAGAAAAGTGTCAAAGGTGTCTGCATTTTACTGTTTGGTCTCTGCCACGTGCAAGGATGAAAGGGCACTGAGGATATACAGACACTTTCTCCTACCCTTTCATCTGGCTGGCTCCCACTTGGCTTTCAGAAGTCAAGGTAGCCTCCTCCAAACTCCACGTTGAGCTGCACCTCCCCTGAGCTCCCACATCTGCGCCTCCCTCTCCCAGGGCTAATCCAGCTGTCATGTATTTCTGGCGTGATGTGGCTGTCTCCCTTGACACGCTCTGGGCTCTTCCAAGGCAACAGCCTGGTCTTGGTAACAACCGTGTCCTCGGTCTGTTGTCTGGCACAAACAAGGTGCCGTGAATATTTGCTGGTTGCATCAATGAGGACAGCAGTCCCACCCTGTCCCGGGAGTGCGTAGAATCTCACTATCTGTGGCTAACCCTGAGTACATAACCTGGGGGCCGGAGAGCCAGCTGGGACCCAGAAACCCGGGTTCCTCAGAACGGTTTCTCTCCAAAACGTGAGCATCCCACCTGGCTCACGGTAACAGAGGAGGGTCTACGATTTAGAGATACACCAGCCTTGAAAGAGAGGCTGAGTGAACCTTTGGCTGGCCTCTATCAGGAGGGCCCAGCCTGGGTCTGTGAGGGTCAGTAAAGTCGGCCAGAATGTGAGAGGGCCGAGTTCGGGAGCCCCCAGATGAGGCACTCTCCACGCGGATGAGAGGGACAACCGAGGACCGAGGTCCCCTCTCCAAAGAAATTCTCTCTCTTGTGGATGCCGCCTAGGGTAGCCCCCTAAATTCCAAGGGTCAGTAGGGCCCCCCTTACACTTTGAAGTGATCGGAAAGTGATGCGACGCTCCGGGGATCCCGCCAGGCTCAGAGATACCCCTGCTTAGGGCTCCGACAAGTCGTTCCCCTCAAAGGCTCGCCGCGGCCGCCTTTACTGCAGGCGATGGAGGAGATGGGGATGCAGCCCCGGCCCGCCCTGCCAGCTCAGCGCCCGCGCCGCAGGCCCCGCGGCCCAGCCCGTTGTCTGGCCGCCCGCGTCCCCTGCACGCTGGGCCGAGCCCACTTGCCCTCTAGCTCCGCGGCAGCCGCGCAGCCCCACAACACCCAACCAACCTGCAGCGGTGACCGCTAGAGCGTCGCGCCAAGCAGGCGCAGCGGGGCAGCCCTGCCGCCGGGGTCCTCGCAGAGAAAAGACCGTCGCCATGGAGACGCGGCGCGCGCTGGCGGCCATTGGGCCGCGCAGGCACTGTCAAGGACAGTTTTCGGGACGGGGCCCGCGGCTCCAGGCACCCAACAGCACTGACGGTGAACCCTTCACGGCCGCGCGATGCCTCGAGGCGGCGGCCGCCGCCGCCACCACCTCAGCTGCCCTCGCGGGCAGCACGCCGCGGCAAAAGCGCACGTCGCCTAGCGATGGTGCGGGGCGGGGACATGGGCTGTATCGGCCCGTCGGAGACTTCCGCTTCCGGGGCCGCGGCCATCGCTCTCCCGGGCGTAGAAGGCCCGCCTGGCAACGCGCAGTTTCAGACCTTGGCCCTCACGGTCCGTAAGTCTCGGTCGCCCTCGCCTCGCAGCCTGCCACCCGCGGTCGGCTGCCCGCCTCCTCAGCCAGCCATGCTGGAGCATCTGAGCTCGCTGCCCACGCAGATGGTGAGGGCGCAGCCCCGGGGACCTCCGCACGCAGCTCCTGTGCCTGGCAGCTTCGAAGCCCCTGTCGGAGCACCGACCTAGTGCTGCGCTGTTCCGGGCCCTGATGGTTACCCTCCACCCTCTTTACCGAATTGCCTCCTGGGTCCCCTTCTCTTCTACTCCGCGAGAATCTCCTGTCCATTCTCCGTGAGGGTGTTTCAGTTCCTCCCGGGAAGCCCAGAATTTAATTTCTTGCCCAGGTCCATAGGTGAGCGGGAGACCCTGATATTGGGGTTACCCTGTGCCAAAGTTTTGAGGTCAGGGCAGAAATTGTTATCTCCTCGGCGGTGGATCCAATTCTTTTTTTCCTCTGCTTCACCCCAGGATTACAAGGGCCAGAAGCTAGCTGAACAGATGTTTCAGGGAATTATTCTTTTTTCTGCAGTAAGTATTGGTTTTACGTTTAATCTCCGCCCCCGCCTCCCTCCCAACCCTCAGTTTGAGTGTGTTTAATATACTTCATTTGTCTCTAGATAGTTGGATTTATTTACGGATACGTGGCTGAACAGTTCGGGTGGACTGTCTATATAGTTATGGCCGGATTTGCTTTTTCATGTTTGGTAAGAAATTTGTGGGTGTTAGTGGCAACCTGGGTTTTGTGAGTCGGGTTGGTTTGGTTAGACCTACTCAGTAGTGAGACCCAAAGCCAATGTTTCCCTCATCCTTCCAGACAGCGTTTCCCTTTGCTATCATTGGAAAAGTAGAATGCGAAAATAGTGTCAGATGGTGTGAACTATATAAAAGAACATAGCTTATTTCCTTTGGCAGCTAGTCTAGGTAATAATCTTAAGGTCAAAGCCAGCAGGAGTTTTTCATGGTGCTCACATTGCCCCCTCACCTGTTGTTTATTTATTTATTTATTTTAAATTTTTTGAGACGGAGTTTCACTCTGTTGCCCAGGCTGCAGTGCACTGAGGCGATCTCGGCTCACTGCACCTTCTGCCTCCGGGTTTAATCGATTCTCCTGCCTCAGCCTCCCGAGTAACTGGGACTACAGGCTCACATCACCACACCCAGCTAATTTTTGTATTTTTAGTAGAGACAGGGTTTCAGTGTGTTGGCCAGGCTGGTCTCAAACAATCCGCCTACCTTAGCCTCCCAAAGTGCTTGGATTACAGGCGAGAGCCACCACACCTGGTCCCTCACCTTTCTTTTAGGTCTTAAAGCCATTTGTGTAGGCAGTAAGCCTGTTCCCATCATCTTACAGTGTTTTGCATGGACGGTGGCACAGAGCCTTTATAGGAATATGGATTTTTTTGTTTTTTGTTTCCTCAGCATGGGAGTCGTTTGGGAACCTGGCATTATACATAATTTTTTAAACTTTTAATAGCTATAATTTATGCATTTCCTCTTTTCTGACCCAGCTGACACTTCCTCCATGGCCCATTTATCGCCGGCATCCTCTCAAGTGGTTACCTGTTCAAGACTCAAGCACAGACGACAAGAAACCAGGGGAAAGAAAAATTAAGAGGCATGCTAAAAATAATTGAGGTTTTCATGATTCAGCACCTGCTTTTGTTTCCTGTGAGATGAGCTAAATTGCTTTCATACCCCAGAAAAGAGCTAAAACCATCTAATGCTCTTACGGCACAGCTGTGTGTAGATTTAGTTCTCTTTATACTTCATTTCTAGCACAGTTGGGTTTTGATTTATATAAGTAGTTTAGACCTTCTCTTCGTAATCTTGCTGTGAAATGGGGAACAGAACACACAAGTATGCAGTTTCTTTCAGGTGTGAATAATGAAGAATAAATGCCTCATAAATGATAGTACAATGTAACTATCAAAGTTTTGTAATTCATTATGAGTTGTTAAACCATTTTAATATTTCCAATTAAACCTCATAGTGCAAGTTCTTTGTCTAAAGGATCTTTTGTTCATTATTCTGCAAGGAAGATAATTAGTAAAAGCCTAAGTTAGAAGTTCATGGTTCTGGCCAGGTGCAGTGGCTGTCACTTATAATCCCAGCACTTTGGAAGGCTAAGGCAGGAGGATGACTTGAGCCCAGGAGTTTGAGACATTTCATGGTATATAATTAATAGTTGTTACTAGAACATTAGTTCCATAAGAATAGGGAGCTTGTTTTTCTCACTGCTGTCTGCCCAGTACATAGAAGAGTACACGATGCATTGTAAGCACTTAAGATTTATTGAATGAGAACTGCATTGTACAATATGGTGCCACTAGACACATGTCTATTTAATTAAAATATAAAACTCTTATCAAACTAGCCATGATTCAAAGGCTCAGGAGCTATGTGAATAGTGGCTACCATATAAAACATTTCCATCACAAAGTTCCATTTAGCAGATCTTATATAGAACCTTGAATAAAATTTAATAGACAAGTGATTTTGTATTTAACATGTCACCGTTATTGAATGCCTATAAGGCCATTCCAATAATGGATAATGTACTAAACAACAGGAAAAAAAAACTGCAAGAAGTAAAGGTTGTGCAGGTGATATTCAGTAACACTGCAGTATAGCCAGAGCAAGGACATATAACTTCCTTTGCTTTATAAGTCTATGGAAATCAAAACTTATAAAAGAGAAAACCAAAATCAGAATTATTGACACTTTAGGCCAGGCATGGTGCCTGACGCCTGTAATCCCAGCACTTTGGTAGGCCAAGGCAGGCGGATCACCTGAGGTCAGGAGTTCAAGACCAGCCTGGCCAACATGGTGAAACTCCATCTCTACTAAAAATAAAAAAATTAGCCAGGCGTGGTGGCATGTTCCTGTAATCCCAGCTACTCGGGAGGCTGAGGGAGGGGAACTTGAACCCAGGAGGCAGAGGCTGCAGTGAGCCAAGATCACACCACTGTACTGCAGCCTGGGCAACAGTGAGACTCTGTGTCAAAAAAAAAAAAAGAATGATTATATTGGGAAGAAAATGTGTAGTCTTAAAGATGAGTTTTTAAATTAATTTAGGAAGATGAATTAAGCACTCAAGTAAAAAAGAACGATAAAAGTGGGAAGAAAACAGGATCAATGTTTAAACAAAATAAAAATATACAACATGGGAATAAGAAAGTATGGGGGAGGTCAGGTGTGGTTCATGCCTATAATCCCAGCACTTTCGGAGGCCGAGGCAGGAGGACTGCTTGAACGCAGTTTGAGACTAGCCTGGGCAACACAGACTTCCTCTCCACAAAAAATTTTAAAAATTAGCCAGGTGTGGTGGTGCATGCCTGTGGTCCTAGCTACTTAAGGGGCTGAGGTGGGAGGATCACTTAAGCCCAGGAGGTCAAGGCTGCAGTGAGCTATGATCACCTCACTGCACTCCAGGCTGGGTAACAGAGCAAGACCCTGTCTCAAAAAAAAAAAAAAAAAAATACGGGTGAGATTAATTCTAATAAAATACCTGCTTTACACCAATAAATTAGAAAAATTAAGTAAAATTGATGACTGTCCAGAAAGATGTGGATTTCCAAAACATGCAAGGAAAGGAATAGCTCAAGGATACCAAGTTTGCCAAAGATTTGTTCCCAATTGGGCATTGGGACTTGATTGTTTTGCAAGTTGAGTTCTAGCAAACCCTTCAAAGTGAAAATAAGAGTTATCAGAAACCAGGCTGTGAGCACTGTAAAAGGGCAGGAAGCATTGTTTTATTCACCACTATATCCCCAGCTCCTGGCAGAGAACCTGGCACATAGTAAACTCTAAATAAAAATTTGTCAAGTGTGCCAGGCGCGGTGGCTCACGCCTGTAATCCCAGCATTTGGGAGGCCGAGGCGGGCGGATCACAAGGTCAGGAGATCGAGACGATCCTGGCTAACACAGTGAAACCCTGTCTCTACTAAAAAAACAAAAAAAAATTAGCCGGGCATGGTGGCGGGCAACTGTAGTCCCAGCTACTCAAGAGGCTGAGGCAGGAGAATGGAGTGAACCTAGGAGGCAGAGCTTACAGTGATCCAAGATTGCACCACTGTACTTCAGCCTGGGTGACAGAGTGAGATAGGTCTCAAAAAAAAAAAATAAAAAAATTTCATTAAGTGGCTGTAAAGGGAACATTTCATTAGAGTATTTCTGTGTGTGTGTATAATTTTCAAAGATATATTTTTAGTTATAGAAACTGAAAACAGGGCTGGGCACAGTGGCTCATGCCTATAATCCCGGCACTTTGGGAGACTGAGGTGAGTGGATTGCTTGAGCCCAGGAGTTCAAGACCAGCCTGGGCAATATGGTGAAACCCTGTCTCTACAAAAAATACAAAAACTAGCCAGGTGTGGTGGCACACACCCATGGTCCCAGCTACTAGGAAAGCTGAGGCGGGAGTATCACTTGAGCCCCGGAAGTAGAGGTGGCAGTGAGTTGAGATCATGCCACTGCACTCCAGCCTGACTGAATGAAATGCTGTCTCAAAAAAAACCACCTGAAAACATTTCTGGAGCAATATTTATTTTTAGAGTCCCTCGAATACAGAAGTGAAAATGTACTATTCAAGACTTGTATTTAACTTTATAAAATTTCTTTCCTAGATGGGTATTACCTCCTTAAACATTTAACTAATAAAATATGTGATATATAATCATACATTTAAAACATGGAACGACAACTAATATCTTAAAGTACATGAAGACAAACTTCAGGAGACAAACATTAAATATATCCAAAAACTAAATGGAACTAGACTGCTTACAAATTGCTTAAACTGAAATGAAATTTGTGTTTAAGAAATGTTTTCACTGATGGAAAAATAAATCTAACAAGACCATTATGTAAAAACATACTAATTTACAAAGGCAATGTATCTCAGTTT